CCAAATATGGGGACCAAAAATCACACTTGTGCTTGTGCGATCGTCATTAAACTTTTAAGATCATAGTTTTTTACTAAAATTTGAAATCTCAGAAAGTTTGAAGCCAATCGGATGAGATTCAAGGGTAGCTCCCATACAAAAATTGCCTTTTTTGGCCGATTTTATGATGGAAATACGATCATTTGTATGGGAGCTACCTCTATTTATGCTCCGATCCGCCTGAAACTTTCAGAGATTCCATTGTTTGGTGAATAAATAAGATTCTGAAAGTTTCATGATGATCGGTTTACCGGAAGTGGGACTTTCAGATGCATGATTTTGTGGATTTCTCTTGGGCCCAAGCTCCAAACTTTGAGGCCGATGAGGCACGGGTAAACGTTGTCCGATCGGGCTAAAAATTTACAGGGCTTATTTTTATGACCAACCTCGCCTGAAAAAATACTGCCGCATGTGAAATTCGAAAAAGTCCGAAAAAAAAACCACCCTAATATATATAATACAGATCAATGAAAAAGATCAAAGTGGCATTTAATTTAGTCAGCTGTACCATAGATAACAGCTAACTGACGAGGTGTTAGATTCTGAAGATTTCTAATATCAAGATTGGCTCCTTTTTTGATGAGAAGTTCAGCAACATCCTTGCGACCTTAGAAATAATTTAGATCGATGAAAAAGATCGAACCGATTCTTTATTTTGTGAAAATAACTATTCAACATTACCATTCATAACAGCATAATGAAGAGGTGTATTATTAAAATTACTCATGATATCCATGCTGGCGCCTTTGTTGAGGAGAACCTCGGCGACATTTTTGTGACCTTAGAAATAATTTGGATCGATGAAAAAGATCAAAACGATTCTTTATTTTGTGAAAATAACTTTTCAACATTACCATATCTAGCAGCATGATGAAGAGGTGTATCATTAAAAGTATTCATGATATCCACACTGGCGCCTTTATTGAGGAGAACCTCGGCGACATTCTTGTGACCTGAAAAATAATTCGGATCGATGGAGAAGATCAAATCAATCTTTTATTTAATGAAAACAAGTATTCAACATTACCATATTTAGCAGCATAATGAAGAGCTGTGAAATTCAAAACATCTCCAATATCAGCGTTAGCTCCATTCTTTAGAAGCACATCAGCGACACCTCCGTGACCTAAAATAATACGGATCAATGAAAAAATTGAACCAATTTCCGATTTATTGAAAAAAAAGTCAAGGCTGCACTGACGAAGTGTAGTAGACATCACACACAACTCTGACACCCGTGTATATATGCTAGTCGGTTTTTGTGTATGAGTTGGTTGCGATGGCTGTATATGCGATGTTTGTTTGCACGATAGTTGTGTGCGCGGCAGTTGCATCGCGATCAAAGGGATATTGCAACTTTTTGACCAGAAAAAACGCCATCTTACGTCGTGCCCGTAAATTATTTTACTGTACATTTAGATGGTAGAGCTTGAACAAAAGTTCGACACTATGCATAAACTTGAAAGAGCTTGATAAACTTGATGCAATACATATATTTTATGTTCGCTGCAATACCCCTATGATCGCGATATGCTTGTCTATTGGCCAAAGCATATTCAATGCTTGCTGCTAAGCAATACTAATGCGCGTAGTACTCGAAAAGAGTATTCAAAATTACCTTTCATAGCTGCCAAATGAAGAGGTGTATTATTAAAACCATTCATGATATCCATACTGGCGCCTTTGTTGAGGAGAACCTCGGCGACATTCTTGTGACCTTAGAAATAATTTAGATCGATGGAAAAGATCAAACCGATTCTTCATTTTGTGAAAATAACTATTCAACATTACCATTCATAGCAGCAAAATGAAGAGGTGTATTATCAAAAGGATTCATGATATCCACACTGGCGCCTTTGTTGAGGAGAACCTCGGCGACATTCTTGTGACCTGAAAAATAATTCAGATCGATGAAAAAGATCAAATCAATCTTTTATTTAATGAAAACAAGTATTCAACATTACCATAATCAGCAGCTAAATGAAGAGCTGTGGTATTCAAATTATTTCCAATATTAGCGTTAGCTCCATTCTTGAGAAGCACATCAGCGACACCTCCGTGACCTAAAATAATACAGATCAATGAAAAAATTAAACCAATTTCCCATTTAGTGAAAAAAAAGTCAAGGCTGCACTGACGAAGTGTAGTAATGTCTACCATCACACACAACTCTGACACCCGTGTATATATGTTAGTCGGTTTTTGTGTATGAGTTGGTTGCGATGGCTGTATATGCGATGTTTGTTTGCACGATAGTTGTGTGCGCGGCAGTTGCATCGCGATATGTTTGTCTATTGGCCAAAGCATATTCAATGCTTGCTGCTAAGCAATACTAATGCGCATAGAATTAAATTTGGTCCTAAAATTGTATATATATGGACTGGTAATTTATTTAGATACCCCAATATTCTCGAACAAAAATGAAAAATGTAATCAAAATGATAGAAAAAAAAAATTGTCTAATGATTTGGGAGTAGTGTTGTCATAACATGTAAAGTCATTTCAATAGTAGATCTCAACCAATGTATAATTTAGTTGTAAGCATGAAGAAACCAAATAAATAATAATAATAATAATAGTACTCGACAAGAGTATTCAAAATTACCATGGGAAGCAGCACAATGAAGAGGTGTCTCTTTCGTTCTAGTTTCACTATCAAGATTGGCTCCTTTGCGGATGAGAAGTTCGGCGACACTCTTGTGACCTGAACACCGATCGATGGGATAAAATCAGGTCAATCTTTTATTCAATAACAATAAGTATTCAACGTTACCTTTCTTAGCAGCATAATGCAGAGCTGTCTCATTAAAATTATTTCCAATATTGAGGTCGGCTCCTTCAGTGATGAGGTTTTCAGCTTCCTTCACGTTGCCTGAAAGAATATGAAAAATATTTATAGATCAATGAAACGGGGCTGGAATTCTAAGAATTCCACCGAAATCGTTCGGAATTATTTTTCTCGTACATAAGACCATATTGGAGTGAAAGAGAGAGATTCCACTATTTTTCAGCTTCCCATCGGAATTATTCCGATAATTCAAGGAAGAGTGGATTGTAACAACTCAAGGAACAGTGGATTGTGTGAGAAATAATTTCGGTGGGAAGCTGAAAAATAGTGGAATCTCTCACTTTCACTCCAATATGGTCTTATGTACGAGAAAAATAATTCCGAACAATTTTGGTGAAATGACTTAGAATTCTAGCCCGGATTGAACAAAACATTCTCTTTTATAAAAAAAATGTCCAAAATTACCAGCAAAAGCAGCTCTATGCAGAGCTGTCTCTCCATACATGTCTTTTTCGTTTACTAAAATATGTATGAAAAGCTTAGCATAAATGAGGTTCCCATTTCTTAGTTACAAGGTGCTTTGTATATGGAATTTAAGAGTTAAACTGGATAAATAAATGAAACTTCAATCTTACCGTTCCTCCCGGGTGGTGCTCCGCTCACATCCCCGATTAAGAACTGTGGAAATTGGATCAAAGTGATACATTTGGAATGGGAACAACGGATCAGATTAGTAACTATGTATTAATAACAGTTTTCAACTGTTTTTAATAGAATAAAAGTTTCCGGTGGACATTTTTTTGGAATAGAAGAATGTTTTTAATTTAAGAACTTGAAAAAAGGACACTTTTCATTTTTTAAATTATTTCAGAAAAAATTATCACAAATTGTCCACGAAAAGTATGAAACATGAAAAATTTAAAAAAAAATCGACTGAAATTGTCGACTCACCCCGGATACCATCAAGCCAACGAGCAGCAGTGTGAAAGAACTTCGACTCAGCATTTTTCTAGCTTCGAACTATT